GAAACAATCAGCGGGATCCATCTTTTGTATAACAAAAAATTAAATCTTCTCATCCCACGCTTTATCGCTTACACAAACCTTATCGCCATGAAGATAAAAGTAAGTAGCGTAATTTCTTGTATACTTAAACGTCTAGACCGTGCCAGCTGAACCCTACTATTGACCTTTCTCGTAGGCTATTCTCGTAGATCAGTGAGTCTCTTTGTCCGACGAACGACAGAAAAAAGCGCGGCGCGGGAGGTTCTCTGTTAAGATAATTGTCGGTCACATGTTAAGTCTTTTAGCGAGCGGTCGCCTACGGGTAGATTTTAGAACATTCGAGAGTCTTCATCCTGGAAACCTGTTAAGCGAGAAGCAAACAATAGTAACTCACATCCACTATATAAGTTGAAAATACCAATTTCAATGCTCCGTTCTACCTTCACAGACCGAAAGATGAATCATCTGGTCGTAATGAAAGGACAGCGGTCATCAGGTCGCCCGCTGTCGACCCCCGCGCGCATCAGTCACGAATCTCTTAAAGAACAAAATCATGCTTGCGGCATGCCTTGTAAGAATTCATTTTTTAAGCGGTTTCCAAAAATTGATTGTCTTCTACGCCCTAAATAAAGGCATTTATTCGAAAATGTCTTGCTGAGCTTTACAATTTGATTTAGGTTCTTTAATTGCCTTTTAATGCCTCCTGAGTTTACGGCGAGAAGCTCGAGCTTTTAAGAATATCGCGATCAAATCTTGCCGATAATTTTTTGAATCACGTTAAATTTTTTTAATCACGATTTCGATTTCTCATCATTTCTACCGAGACTACTTCGTCGACGTTGAGTTTGACGTTCGATGCAGATCTTCCGGAGCTTCCGCTTCCGCACGATACGCCCGGCCGGTTTTTCGAATAATTAATAGATGGACGTGAGTAACGAGCTTTTAATTGCTGCTTTAAGCGCCGCGGGACGTGTATCTCGATCTCGGACAAACAACGCTTTTTGCGTCGCCGTCGCTCCTCGTCATTAATTGCGCCGCGACAATTTCGTCTTCCCTCGTAAAGGCGCTCGCAAACGCTCTTCTACAAAAGGGGAATCGTAATCCTGTAGCTTCTTTTCCCTCCTCCTCACATGATCCGAAACTGAACGACCATTGAGCGCCAATTATCGATCCTGCACGTAATGATCGACAGACCAACGAGTTTTCCATGGAGAATCACAAAAGCATCGACTTGAATTTTCACGGCAGATCGCCTGACTAATCCAGAGTAAAACTGACGTTTCTGCAACTAACTCTCGATATTCCCGAATTTTCTACAATAAACGACTTTCACCCTCAGCTCGCTGTGTTACACATCACTCGGTCCTGCCGAGGGTTAAACCTCGGAATATATCTTTCCCGCGGGAGAAAAAGGATAATTCCAGAACTCGGATAATTAAACCCTAGCGTGCCGCCAACAAGGCTGCGAAATGCCCTATTTGTATCTCTTCCGATGAACTGCTTTATAACTTTATAACTTACATATAAATTTATGATTCTCTAAATATATTCTACTAATAAATTTATAGCGTATATGTAACATCTATTTTATGTTTAGCGTCAGACTAAAAATATATATTTTTTAATAATCGCGTACCATCGGAAAGTCTCGTGGAAGACGAGAAATCGAGAAAAGGGCGTTTTCCAAGGAGGCGAGATTCCAGTCGGCCAGAAACGACTGGTCGCTATCACGCGGCGAATGTCGCTGGCAAAACATACAACGATGCTTATCATTCGGCGTCGATCGCGTCATCGCGGCATCGATTTTCGTTCTCACGACGTCGCGTCTGGTCGCAACGCGGCCGTTCGGTTGGAAACGCTGAATAATGGAGGCGAGGAATTCGAAAGAGATTTCGAGAGAGAGTATTTCGGCAAGAGAAATGCCGTGAGATTTAAATAAACGACCTGATATTGTACCTGGATTTGAGATCACAGATGACCGCACTGCGAAAAGTTATTACCCCGACGATAAATCATAACACTAGTCAATTTGGCAAAAGTAAATGATCAGAACCGAAGTTGAGTTACGAAATTGGATACTCTATTACAACGTGTTCACCATGACTTTTATTGTCTTTATCATTCTCCTCCGAATCTCGAATTTTTTTTTATACAAACTATTTCCCTACTTGATAGCCAAAATCTTTGAAAATGAAAAACACCCAAGTTTGATACACTAAATCCCGCGGAGAAATCTCGTATTTTTTATGTAATATTAAAGTGTAATATTAAGCGATATATATTAAGCTAAGCAGTTTAATAATATTATAAGCGATATATATTAAATTGAGCAATTTTTGAATTGCAAAAGCTAATGTTATTGCGATAAATATTACCACATGCCTCAGTAGTTGAATTTGTACATCTACACGGAATGAGGGTTCCAGATTCGAACCTTAGCTGAGATAATATTTTTCGCAATAAATTAAATTATTTAAAAAGAGGATGCTTACATTATATATAAGCATCAAAATTACATCAATTTAAAAGAACCAAAACCCACGGTCGAAACATCTTGACGATTAATTTGACCAAAATCAATGGTCGTATTGTCATGACGATTATAATGATAGCCAGTATAGTGTCGATTAAAGTCTTTACTAAGCAGTTTTAGTCATTAAGATAAATTTGCAATAAGTTTATGTACAATTAAATGCTTTTTCTGTAGAATTTGGGTGAAATTGAAATAGAAAGTCATTGTCGTTTATGAAAAGATTTCTCTCACGCGCAAAAAAGACAGGTGCAAATTCATTCTTCAATCTCTTGCATTTTCAGCTGGTCTAGTATTTGCGATCCGAACGTCGACATCCGACACTCCTTCCGGACACCTCGTACGCGAATTTAAGAAAATCTGTGGCTTCGCGGAATTATGGACACAAAAATCTGCGGGTTTGGAAATACGCGTAACTGAGGATCCGTGGGATCAAAGCTTGAGCATATCTCGCTTCTTTCTAAAGATAAGAGGAGTTTCGTAGTTTTTTTTTCTCCTCTACGTGTTGTCTCAAGAGTAGAATGTATACGCGAAGGGCTCTCCAGCGGCACCGAGGACCAGGAATTCGTGGACTCCTTGAATCCGATAGAACCGCGAATCCACGGTGTCATCGAGAACCGTGAAACCGGAGAGCCCTAAAACCGAGCGTACTGTCCATTCTTCAAGAATACCGGCCACGTCCTCTATCCTTCTAAAGGATACTGAATAATGAAGAAACGAGCGAGGAGGGCGCAAAGGCGGAGGGGAGGGGGGGCGACATCTCACAAGTTCTCGAGAGAGGCCGGCGTTCGACGGCAGAGCCCCGAAAACGCTGGCCAGAACGTAGTGGATGCTAATGCGGCCCTAAGCAAACGGGAATTTCTTTTTTCTACCTGAAGTCGCGCTCATTGCAGGTATCCACCTGGATGAAACGCACGCCTGACGTGTGTACGAGTGACGACCATTTTCAACTGTCCCTCTTCCCTCCTATCCGTCAGGCTGCCGCGTGTGTATAATATGTACGCTTGGTTTGCGCATACTGGGGGTATACATATGTATGCGCGCGCGCGTGTGTGTGTGCACGCGCGTATGTGCGTGCATGCATGCTCGCATGTGTGCACACAACGTGTGTTTATTCGGTGCCCGTCCGTCCGGCCACCCGCTCACCGTCAACAACGAACATGGCACGTACGATCGTTGTGTCGGCGACGGCGGTTTTATACAGGGTGTCTCACACAACTCGATTTCCTCGAATCGCGCGGCTGCGTACGTGTGTCTGAAAGAGCAAAGTGGAAAAGAAGAGTGGCAACACGGTGAAGAAAAACAGTCTCACCCTCGTCCTCGAGTCAGCTCTCTCTTTTTTTCTATCTTTCTCTCTCTTTCTCCCTCCTTTTCGGGCAATTGAAGTTTATGACTTTGGTGAAATCGGACTTTGGCAAATCACGAAGCCCGTTTAATTTTATCTGAAGTAGAGGTTCGGAAGAAGTTTGGAAGATTTCGATTTAACGGGATGTTAAATTCGAAACTTAATCGATTTACGCTTGAAATTAATCGTCTGAGGAAAATGACATTCGATAAAATTCTTTTCAAGAAAAATACAGGTGTACTTAAACGATAAAAGATATGAAAAGCAGGCTTAGGATCTCCTTCAGTTAATGACTCCTTTAATGTCATTTAATGCTTAACTAAGTTAACTAAACGCTTCCTCGTTTAAATTGTGCAGGCAAACGAGATGATACGAATCTTTCCTCCGCCCCTTGCATTAAAAATCCACACAAACATTTTCTTTCTAAATAAGAGTCATTAAATATAATACGCAAAAAAATGGATCAGTGTTTCAAGTTTTGACGTTAACTGATATCGCAGAAATGTGAACCTCATTGTCAATGTCGAGCGGAGCGATACGGCGGCTTTTCGCCATGCTTTCGGGACACCCCGTGTGTGCGCGCAGGGAGACAGATGTACCCTATGCCGACTATGCGCGCTATAGACCCACCCGCATGCACTTTTAACGATCGAGATGATAAGTCGCGCGGAACAGAGTGAGAGAGGATGCGGGCTTTCTCTCCCTCTCCCCATCCTTCTCTCTCTGGATTAAGGTAGCTTCACATCGAGGCGAGCAGCATTCGCCGGATCATAATCCGATATAGCTGCGTGTCTCGACGAAGGAGGCGTCCGCCATTTAGGTCGTTGTCGTTGTGTCTGCGAATTATTCGTTTTCGTCAATCCGTTCGAAGGAGAGCAGTTAGAAACCAGCGTGAGACGTCTACGCCGCGGCGCCGTGTCTATATGCAGAATGTCTGAACTGTCGTCTGATGCGTAACGCCATCAGCAAGCGGATGTCAAAAGAAAGAGCCGCTTGTAAAAATGACTGCTAAACGATGTATATATATCGACGATATCTGTTTATCTACATCAAAGCTGCGTTAGAATCGCTCGGGTCGAGAAAGGGGGACCAAAGGAAATTACTTCAGATTATCAACCGCGCGCGAAAGGACTCTTTGTATGCCTAAAGGTGCGATTTCATTGACGCTAGAAACCAGCGGCAGCGTCAAGAAAATGTAGTGGGGGAAGAAGTTCAGACCGTCTCAACTTTTTAGCGTACCGCAAAATTCAACAGAACTTCTTCCTCCACTACATTTTCTTGACGCTGCCGCTGGTTTCTAGCGTCAATAAAATCGCACCTTAAGTCTTTAGCGTTTCTTCGAATTTAACCAGGGGGGGAGGGAGCCATTTCATCGCAGATATTTTCGGTTAGAAAGGCTCGATGTTCTCTCGTTTCTATAATATAAATTATTCGCATTTACAATCGTGCAAAGATATCACGTGCTTTCTCCGTGTCACTATTTTGTGTCACGTTTATGTAAATCTCTCTCCTTTCGCATCCATCTCTACGAACTTCATAAATTACACATATCCGCAAATAAAAGTTAAACCAGTAACGTTCGTTGATTATGATGTATCTATCGAAATCAATGCATACGAAAAAATAGTATTGTAAAATGATCGATCCTACAAAACGACTATCGCGCGATTATAAAGTACAGGTTTCTCCCTTAAACATAATATCGGGAAAAAAGAGAAGGGAAGGAGGACAGAGCACAGCCATAATAAGTGTTGTCTACATCGACTATGCATCGTCTACGTAAATTACGCGTAAAATGAGTCTGTACATAATCTACACGTGAAACGTCGGGAATACTCGACGCAAACAACAATCGACAACGAAGATTTCGTGTCGAATTTGACCATCATTGTACGATCGCTGACAACAAGCTCCTGCAGTTGTCCACGATGCTGTTATGAATTGCGCTTTACAAGCAAACGCGCGTATTAAGACATCAAGAAAAAGTTTTTAAAAAATTCCATAACGCTTTTTCTTAATTCTTAGCTGACACGAACAGCCCTCGGAAATCACGTCTCGACTTAACTTCTTTTTTCTCAACAAGTTCTCTCAGTTTTTATCGAGAGCTTGATAAGAATATATGGAGAAAAACTCGAGAACAGACTCAGAGATTACCGCGAGTCAGTATGATCGAGATTCGATACACGTTCGTTTTGATTCGCAATAGTTCGACCACGATCCGTTGCCGTTGTTGTTCACGCGTAGATACCCAACGCCGCGAAACCGTCCGGACATCCGGCTGTCGTCTAACTTTGAGGCAGGAGAGCGTGATAACTCGGCGTCTCATAGAAGCCAGCGGCGGCCTGAAGAGCGTGCAGAGAAGTCGCGTGATGCCTGTGTATCGTGCTCGCGTATACGCTGGAGACGCCGGCCGCAGCAGAAACGCCGTTGGAAGCACCGAAGATGGACGAGGAGGAGGAGGATGACGAGGAAGAGGAAGCCTGCTGACCGATATGCGAAGCCGTTCGCGACAGCAACGTCACCGACGGTCGCCTGTAGGGATGATGGGTGACCGCCGAGACCGCCGATGTGCTGGCGCGATGATGGCTGCCCGAGCTCGAACTCGTGGCCGCAATATTGCTGTATGCCTGCTGATAAGTCTGTCGTAGAATACCGGAGATTGACACGGACGTCGGAGACGTGACCGATGACGAAGAAGAGGAACTTCGGTCGCTTTGGTGAGGTTGATGAAGGAGCTGATGAGTAGTAGCGGTACGATGTTGCTGCTGCTGCTGCTGCTGTGGCTGTTGCTGCTGGCGGTGTTGATGATTGTGACGCATGGCGCGGAAGTAATGTTGATAAATACCTGATATGACTGCCTTCTCGTCAGCAGAGATGACGTCGGTACCAGAAGCCGTTGGTGTCATGGGTCGTTGTTGTTGAGATTGTTGCTGAGTATGATGCTGCTGCTGTTGTTGTTGCTGCTGCTGTTGCTGATGATGAGCATGAGTATGATTTCTATGATGGTGATGATGATGATGAGTCGGTGGTTGTTGCTGCTGCTGTTGCTGTTGGGGATGATGCCGCCGTTGAGACTGCTGCTGCTGTTGCTGAGACAATGTGGCCGCAACATTAAGTGCCGCACGATACGAGGCAGCCATGGTGACGGCGGACATCTGGCCGTTTGTGGATATGAGGCCACTACCGGAATCCGCGGCAGCTACTACCGCCGCGGCGACCGAGGACGTTGCAATGGACGTCGCCGGCGATACGACGGAGGCAGATACGACGTTGGAGGAAACGACGATGTTACTCGACGGCGGCACGACCGTCGTTGTCGTCGAGGAAGTCGCCGCGACTGCGACCGCTGCGGCTGCCGTAGCAACCGTCACGGCAGCTACGCCGGCGGACGCGGATGCCGTTACGGCGCTCCTGCGACCGTTCCTGCGGGAAGCGGACATAGGCGCCGTCGTCGGCGCCGCCGGGGGCGGCAAATTATTGACGAAAGGGCTCCTCCTCTCGCGCTCGGCGCGTCGATAGTAGCACGGATGGATCATTAGGAGGGGCTCGCCGCCACCGGGCGGTGGCTTCGCCTGGCTTGGTAGCTCGTACTCAACGCTGCAGTCCACGTGGAGCGGTTGCGAGTAGTCCTTGTATTCTTGCACCTTGTAGCTGTTAATTGCCACGGCGGCAGCTGCGGCTGTGGCAGTGGCCGCGGCAGCGGCGGCTGCAGCCGCGGCCGCGGTAGCCGCAGCGCTCGTCGTCACCGAGTTGGCGTTGACGGCATTGACATTGGCAGCATTCACCGACGAGGACGAGTTGCTGGAAGCGGAAGCAGCAGCGGCAGCGGCGGCCGCGGCGGCGACGACGGCAGCATCGTCGAGGCCGGTAGACGTCGCCGGTAGTACTGTCTGGGCGGTTACACTGCCGACGGACGACGCAACGACTCCGTTAGCGTGATGATGGTGATGATGATGGTGGTGGTGATGGTGGTGATGGTGGTGTCCATGTCCGTGATGAATGGCGGCACCTACCACCACTTCCTTCTCGTAGCAGGCGGCGGCCATGTTGTCGGGTGCCTCCTCCTCCTACTATCCGGGCTTCCGCCGGCGCGCCGCCGTTCCTTCTCGCACGCCCGACGCTGACGACCCACGATGACCCACGGTGTCGAACGCTAGGCCCTCATGACGCGGGACTCTCGCGATGATTTTCGCCGACAACGTTGATCCGCTGCTGTTCGTCGTCTCGAACAACGTCTTGATGCCGCCTTCGTCGCCGAAGCGCGCCACGAGGAGGAGGCCGACTGAGATCGGCAGCCGCGACTATCTCGAGGTACGCGCGAGGTACTCCTCTTTGCCGTTGAGAACGACGACGATGACGATGACGATGACGGGGACGAATTTGCCAGGGTGGTCAGTGACGACCACGACGATACTCCCCGACTAGACTCACGTACTCTCGAGCGAGCCGGAGTAGAAGGATATAGCTCATCGCTGCGGTAGCCTTAGCCAAGGGTTGGACCAAAAGGATATATCCAACACCGAGGGAAAGCTCCCGAGAGAAGCCAAGCGCGCTCGCGGCAAGCGTGTTATACTATCGAATGTTTCTTTTTCTTTTATTTCGGATAAAAAGCTCGTTTTAGTGTGCCAATTACGTACGGGGTATGGGGTCTCTATTACTCTCCGGCGTTTAATGCTCGCTCGTTCAGAACGGTCGGTCTTTTCTCGTCACCGCTCGCTGTCAGGACCACCCGTCCTGTAGCCCTCTTCCTTTCTCCCCTACCTTCTCTTTATCTCTTTTTTTCTCCCTTTTCTTCCTTCTTTCCGACTCCCTCTCTCTTTCTCTTCCTCGTTCTCTCTTTCTTCGTCCACCCAACTGACCGGCGTCTTCTTCGTCTCTCCTCCTCTGCGGCCACTTCTCACGCGTGCTTCACTTCACTGTCACGAGTCGCTCGAGGGCCCGGGTCGCGCAACCCGATCGCTGCCGATGCCCGCCGCCCCGCTCGCGGATCAGCACCCCGCCGCGTGTCAGCTTCTCGCGAGGCGGACCCGTCGGGACCCGTGGGAACCCCGTCGCGTAATCAGCGCTGGAGTATCGTCGGGGTGTCGTCGGGCCCGTGCCGACGTCCGACTGACTGACTGGGCGTAGTAGCGCGTTCGGTTCGCTCGGTCGCGTCCGTGTGTGCGCCACCGCCGTCTATATCGCGCGACGCATGGGTCCCCCGATTCGTTCCGCCTCCTCGGATCGTCTCTTTCTCGTCTCTCTCCCCCCCTCTCTCTCTCTATCTTCTTCACGTGCACCCTTACCGTCGTACATACAAAAATCACGGTGACGGTTTTCCACCCCCGCGTTTGCGTGTACGATCGAATAGACGTACGGGTACGTCCTACACACCGCGGCGTGCGTGCGGCCTGCGTGCGTGCGTGCGTGTTATGTATATATATATTATTATATATATATATATATGTGTGTGTGCGTGTGTGTGTGTGGGTGTGTATGTGCGTGTGTGCGCACGGAGCGCAGCACAGGCAGGTGAACGCGGCTCGATCGTCGCGCACTGACAGCCGAGCTGCGACTGAGAATCGAGTTCCTGGGGGACTCTTGACGGGCTCCCCTCCCAACGGGCGTCCGCCGGCACTCACGTGTGGTCGATCGTGGGGCAGGCTAATGCCGGGTTTACACACTCCGAAAGAGACGGGTGTGAATAAACGTCCAATTTTTGCGGTTTATAGGATCTCGTGGCCGCATTTATTCATTTCGTATGCTTTAAAACACTCGAAATAAATTCTTTTCGAATGTATTTATGCCCGAAAATCTAAATTTGCACGCGACTTAAATTATGAAATCGAAAATGTTTGAATCCTTTCTCACGTTACAATATGTTTTTAAAATTTTTCTAACGCGGGCACTTGTCACTCTCTAATATAATACGATTACTCCAAACGCGACATATATATATATATATATATATATATATATATATATATACACATCGCGTTTAGAATAATTGTCGAAGTAATAGTCTAGAGTCTAATGTCTAATTCGAGCCGCAAACGCGGTATTAAAGGGCAGATTTAAATTTTAGTTTAATGCACCGCGCTTCGCGTTTTGTGCACCCGAAACGAAATAATTTCCGTAAGTACCTAATTCGAAGAAAGAAGAAGAGAGAAAATCTGTGAGAAGTTTCGGAAGAAAATTTAAAAGGACAGATTTTCTTTCTCGGGGAAATGCGTTATTGGCTGACGTTTGGCAGTACTGCACTTTCGTTCGCCCGGCACTACTCTCTACTCTACCACTATGGCACTGTGAGAAGTGAGAGTGTGAGGGGCGAGGGCACGTGAGGGCATAGATGAAACGCCGTACATGGCCGTGCAAGTGCATCACGTGCAATCGCGTGTAAGTACCGTCCAGGCTTCTATGATGTCTACCGTTTGGTGTTCGAGGTCGATATGAGCGGCGAGCCGGCGCTTCATCGTAAGATGTATTACTTAGACGTTTCTCTGTTAGTACATTCACTATTTCGACATGAATATAGACGTAACCACGGCTAGTCCGCGGGACATAACCTATATGTGTGACTCCCTCGGTCTTTAATTCTATTGCCGAGCGAGCACGACGATCGTTCTACTTTAAAAACTCGAAATATTTGCACATTCAAAAAACTTCTAACTGTATACATAATAACTGTACGTTTTGTTTATTTCTATTTGTAGAGAAATTTCATCCGATCTTGATCTCACGGTATCTCCCGTATATCTCAAGAAGAACGTTTTGGAAGCCGTTCGGTCGCTGTTCGGAGAGGAGGGAGCTAAGAGTCCCATAGACGTTCTAAAGATCTATCCAGCAAAGCGCAGATTTATCCTTCGTTGTCCGTACAATAGCTACGTCCGACTTCGAGCAAGCCTGACTTTGAGTACGGCATACGAGGGGAAGACGTGCGTGTACACGGTTCACCGGGCGTCGTCGAATTTATTATCGTTCACTGCCGATAGTAGGACGTACCAGCACGGAGAAGTCCCTCCCGAATCTTCGCCATGCCATTGATACGTAAAGAGGGCAAAGACACCATTATCTTCGCATCTAAGGAGGATCATGCGGTGCCCAGTAAGATTAGTCTTCCTGAACCAGAGCCTAGTCCCGGACTGTTGTTGCCTAATGGCGAGATCAATTGGAATTGCCCGTGTCTGGGTGGCATGGCAACCGGGCCATGTGGTTTAGAATTTCGCGAGGCTTTCTCCTGCTTTCACTACTCGACCGCAGATCCGAAGGGCTCGGATTGTCGCAAAGCATTCGAGACGATGCAGAGCTGCATGTCGCAATATCCGGCACTATACGAGAGCAAGGGCATGCCGACAGACGATCTGGAAGGCGAAGAGGAAATCGAGGAAGACGAGGAGGAGGAGAAGAAGCAGCCGTCGGCGGGCAGCGAGGACAAGAGAAAGGCGATGGTTGTTAGTCAAGGTGCAGCAGATTAGCGATAGTCGTCTTCCTCTTGTCTTTCTATCTTAATTAATTACTTTAAGTAAATTAACTTTACCTGTTGCACTGTATAGTTCAAAATAAATTTAAAAAAACACAATTATAAAGTCAGATTAATCAAATTGCTTTGCGAACAACTTGGAGCAGGTAGAATTGCGGATGAAAATAATCTAGGGATATCTTGCGAAGGAAAACTTCAGTATTATGTGGAATTAACAATTTAATTTCTTATCACATTCTACGTTCTGTTCGCAAACTAATATAAGTTAGAGGAAGTTTATCATCAATTTTGTCTGGGAAGAGAAAAATTCTTTATTTCTTCATATTTATGTTACAATCTTCTCTCTTCTTTGCAAGACATGAGTACGCATATACAATTTCCAGTTTAATCTAACAAATATAGAAAAATGCGAGAAAGTATAGACTATAGACAGTCATATTGTACCATTTGACTCCTTCCGTTCAAATGTGCCGCGCGCTCTCTAGGTCGCTCGCTACTTCTTCCGGATCCAGCCAGATGGCGGAGCCTGGCTTCGTGACGTCGGCGCGCTCTGGCGCGCTCCTCCGCCCCCCTCTAGTCGTCATTCCGCTCGCGTATGGTATGGGTCGTGGTACCAATGTTGTGTGGATCATCGGGCACAACGCGATAATAACAGTGCCACCGTTCGCGTACTTACAGCCATCTGCGATAGCAACAACGTTGCGTTCGCCGTTGACGCACGCCATGTGTCTGTCGTTACGCGCGCAGCCTGTGTACCCGTCGGAACGCGACGACGCTGATGCTCATCGTCCTTCGGCCTCGGCGCAGCGCGACGTCGAGCAGTGACACGCGTCGCGTGTGCGCATCGATCACGAATACCGACGCTGAGACAGACTACAACGGAGTGACAAAGACAGATAGACGGGATAGACGGTGGAGCAAAGTTCGGCCGAGCGAAGTTTCCGTCAAGTCGACTTAGAAAAGAGCGGATCTTGTTCACGAGCGCGCGCGCGCGCGCATACCCCGGATACGTTCCTTGGCAGTGACCGAGAGTATCCCGGTTTTCGTGCGTCTAAGTGCTAGTGAGAGAAAACGCGTCGTTACGTCCCTTTATCTTCCGTTGGCCTCATCATGGACACCCATAAAAAGGAGAAGAAGCACAAGGAGAAAAGGAGGTGAGTCGCTTGCGCGCGCGCGCGCGCGAAAGAATCAGATGTAGAGATAGAGCGAGAGAGAGAGAGAGAGAGAGAG